AATTTTGGGAAGTCCTTGACTTTTTAAAAGAAGCTTTTCTACAAAGAATCTTTATTTTAAAGTGGTAATTTTTCTATTGTCCTGGTATTTCCAATGATCAATACTCAAAGAAAACAAAATTTACATGTTCTTTAGACTGGTTCACATACTTAATATCACTAGAATATAAGTATATAGATAGGTAGGTAGGTAGGTAGTTTTTTTTTTAACATTTAGGGTCCTCTTCCCTCTTTTTCTAACATCATTGAATGATAGTATCTATTTTTCACTAATTGAAATACATGTTTTTATTCTGTAAATATGGGTTCTTTCTGTTTTAAGAAGCCTTCAGCTGGGGGAAAAAAAGAAAAGAAAAGGAAGTGAACATTTAATTTATAAAGACTGGTCACAATGCAAAAGAATTTGCCATAAGACTGCCTTAATGCAATGAGTTTCTCTTGAAACTTGTTTATGTTATATATAATCTGGTAATATATTGGGGTTTTAGAAATTTAGAAATCACTGTTCTGCAAAGAATAGCAGTATAACTATTCATAATTACTATATTTAAAACAAATAAAATAAATTTGCAATTACCTTGTCTGCTTTTGGTAATACAATGTTAGTTTTAATTTTTATATGATTATTTAATTTTATTTATACAATTATACTTTCCAAGACCAGAAAATATAAATCATGACTAATGTTGTTTTCTTTTTTAAGCATCTCTGGAATGTGATTTTTAGATATTTGCCTCATCATCAAGCCAAAAAACATTTTTTAAGTAATATCTTACACTAAAATGTGTAAGACAAATACTTGTGCTTTTCAAAAAATTCTGATATTTTCAAGGGAGTATAAGTTATATAGAAAATAATAAAACACATAATTGCAATTAGTATTTCACCAAAAAATAAAATAAAAATGCATGTAATGAAAATGAGCTTACATTTACAAGCTCAAATATCTATTAAATTAGTGAAGTTCCTCAAATTTTCTATGAAAGTTAAGGAAGTAAAAGATATGGATAAGCTTTTTATAAATCCCTTGCTGTACCACTGTAATTTGTCTTTCTACTTTTTTTTTTTTTTTAAGATTCTATTTATTTATCAGAGTGAGCACAGGCAGACAGAGTGGCAGGCAGAGGCAGATGGAGAAGCAGGCTCCCGCTGAGCATGGAGCCCATTGTGGGACTCGATCCAAGGACGCTGGGATCATGACCTGAGCCAAAGGCAGCGGCTTAACCAACTGAGCCATCCAGGCGTCCCTGTCTTTCTACTTTTGAAAAATTATTGATATTAATAACTTTTAAAAATACACAAATTTAATCACTGTGATCATTGTATTTCTAGAATAGTTACTAAAATATTAGAGAGTATCTTATGTTTGAAGATAAAAACTAATTACTTTGAGGTGAGCTGGCAGATACTATATTCATGTCTTCTGTAATTAGAGCACCAATTTCAGTGGTGCTTAAAATTGTTATATCTTAAAATTCCAGAAATTTGGATATTTTGTTCTCTGTTATATATTAATTCCACATTTTTGTGCTCAGAATTTAAAAGTTATATTTAAAGCAATCTTACAGTAAATATTTAATCTACTTTAAAAATTATAGATGCTGTATGTTCTATATTTTCACATGCCCAATGCACTTGAAATAGAAATCCAAAACCATACAATTAAACAACTCTGAAGAATTAAATCTTAACCAGTATGTATTATTAATGCTAGATCCTTTAATAAAAAAAATAAGGTAAGAAGTTTTACTTACTTCTACTTATTCAACTAAAAGACTTATTTTCCTCCTTCAACCAATTTACTGAAGAACAATCCTTTGTTACATTAACATTAATAATTATACTTCTCATTTATTTATCACTTCACAAAGAATACAGACTACCATTGGACATAATAAATTTTTCAGCCAGTTATACCTGATATAGACACTGAAAACACATATAAGTTATAGCAAACTTATTCTATACAACGTTGCAGATTTGCAAAAGATGTCTCTCATCTTTTACAATGGTTCTACGTACTAAAATTTGACTTCAAATAAATTTTCAGGAACTTAGGATTTATATTTTCCTCAAATATGTACAATCATGTATGTTTCTCTGGGACCAGGCTTCAAAAAACATGGACTTAAAATTCTTTAATAATAAACAATATGATTGAAATCTAATATTGAAAGAGCTGGAAAAGTAGACATTAGTTTCTAAATTGATTTGGCAATATAACATCAGTTGATTAGTTAGGGATTGAAATCTACTAAAATATTAATAGAGACATAGATGGCTACTAATGATGTCAGGTCTTAAAATTGAATAACTTAATAATCATTTTATTTTATATCCATACTCATCCATATTAATCATTCATTCATTACTATATCCTGACTAAAAAAGTTTTAACTTCTATATTAACTGAAATTTTTCACATAAATCTGTTTGATTTCATGTAAGAGATTAATCATCATCTTAGCTAAAAGCATATGTAAAATTTTAAATCATGAATTTATATATACTACTTTTGAAGAAAACTGAGCCTATATTTTAAATATTTATTTTCTAAATAATTGAATGGATAGGAATACTTGGGTCTTAAAGACATATATTTCACATCCAAATACCATTTTACATAATTAGTGAACTTCTAGGCAAAACAGTTTTTTGGGTACAATTTTCTTCTATATGACCTTTGTTCACTGAGACAACTAGGCAACAGGTTGCATATGGCATTATTTTAGAGGATAGCCCAGTGGACTTGGAACATTCCATGTCATGGCAGAGCAATCTCATGATCTAGGGACCAGCATTAGTATACTACTGCTGCCTATGCTGAGATAATGTGGAGTTACATGGAGAAAGTCCAAATTTTCGAATATTTCTCATTCTTAAATTTGCTCAGACCACAGATTAAAATGTCTAAATGAAAAAAAAAAATCCAAAAAACAAACAAACAAAAAAACCTGAGGACCAGCTATTAACTGTCCAAATTAAATAGTCTCCAAAACCTGTCTGGTCTTCAACTTGGGAGACTAGAAACTTTGGAGGAGCTGAGATCTGGAGGGTACCAGCACTGAGTGACACTTGGGTTTCTGTAAAGGACTCCTCAGTATCACTGAAGTTTATGATTTCCCGCACTCTGTCGAGATACTCCTGAGGCTATCAGGAAATCCAAAGTGATTTGGAGCATGCCTGGATTTCTTCAAAGATTATCTTTGCAAGTTAAGTATAATTACCTTCCTGGGGATATCAACTGACCAAGAGCTGTCATGTAAAGGAAGGGAGAGAGAGAACACTATCGGCACAACCCAGTGTCGATGTACCAAAAAGCCAACATTGATGTTATATGGACAACCTCTTGGCCCTTCCATTGACAGTCACAGTTTAAGTCTTACCCCCTTTACTGTTACTGACCAAAGCAAAGGAACAATTTACAGGCACAGTTACAGAGCACAATAGCAAAAGAGTCCATTCTTAAAAAGTGCAAACCTACAAGGGTAATGACCACACTCTGCCTGCTGAAACTCCATCTACTTGTCCTCCACCACTGCAATTGGTTTCTCTATGAAACATTCCCTGGTCCCCATCCCCTACCTCCACATTAGGTGTTATCCCTACATTAAACTGTGTGCTTAATCAAATTAGCACCTGTAGCAAAAACTACTATGTATTTACATTTTTATTTCAAACACTAGAAATGTAAAGTTCCTGTAAACAGGATCTACGATTATTTTATTTTTTATGTCCCTAGGATTGAGCTCAGTGTTTAGCACAAGGTAAGTGCTTAGTAAACATTGGCTGAGTTGAAGCTGAATGAGGATACCACAACATCAGGCACATCTCCCACATTAATGATTTGGAGGTGAAGAGATGAGATTCCTTAAAACAAAACAAAACAAAACAAAAAACAAAACAAAAAACACCCAGACTTCGTTGTTCTTTACAAAAAAAAAAAAAAAAAAAAAAGATGAACCTCAGGAAGTGAAATGCCGTTGACAGTCTCCTCAATGCTGGAATGAATGCAGTATTAAAACATCAGGAAACATCAGTGACCTTGCCATCACTGAGTAAATAACATCTTTGTAGGTCTATGCAAGGAGACCTATACCATTTTTTATCATGATAATATTTTACTTCCATAAACACTTATAACCCAGGAAGCTGGTTTAGGAAAAAAAAGTTTAAATGTCTATATATTTCTGGGCCTCCTTATTCTATGTTAAACTTATTTGCAGCTCTCAAATGATTACATTATTTATTTTCTGGGACTCCTTATTCTATGTTAAACTTATTTGCAGCTTTCATATGATTACATTATTTATTCCCTTTAGTACATGATTACAAAGTATTTAGAAATTGTTTTAATGACTTAGAATAAAAGGAAAGTTGAATTTTAAAAAAGTACTACCCAAAGATTTATGGTTAAATTAAAAAAACATATTTACTTCACTTAAGATATAAAGGGTTCCCTACATATACAACACTAATAAGGTTTTTCATGAAAGTAACAAGCCTATGAAAACACTGAAATCTTGCAAACTCTCCTCTAACTTATGGAAGACATAAAACACTAATTTACTAACTGCTGCTCTAAATTTTACTGTACTTTTCTAAAACATCCTTGAAACAATAGGGGAACATCTTGGGGTGAGGGCTGGAATACGTATTTTGGTTATATTTTATAGACAAAAGATGTGATCAAGACAATCATAATCAGAGAATAAAGCAGACAGACTTGAATTTTTATCACAATTGCACATGGAATAAAGGCTGAGTAAGGAGTCAGAAGGTAAAGTGCTGCATATACAAAGCACAAAATACAGTCTAATAAATACTTCACATGCTTAGGTGATTTCAACTTAGTTCTTACATGCAACTTTGTGAAAGGCTAATGTATAAAGTATATGATAAATGATTTCTTTCCCCTAAGACAAAACTACTCAAAAACTTTAAAATCTCTTAATCACTACACATTTTTACAATGCCAGAGAAGAAGAAAAAGAGAAATTATTAATTTTTAAAATTACCCAGCAATTCCATTGCATCATCTTCATTATCAATATCTTCTTCTGTTACAGATGGGGTAGGGCTGTGGAGAGACTCAAAAGAATCTTGAGAGAGCATTGCTGCCAGAAGTTTCTTATGTTGCTGTTGCTGCTGTTTTAATCCTTTAGTCTTGGGCTCCACCTTTAAGCTGAAGAAATATTTAAATGTTAGTTTTCAATGATGACAACTCTATTAATTAGCTCTGATAAATAAAATAATCTACAACCAAATTTTCATTTGATTAATTTCACTATGTGAAATTATAGTCATATTAGTAATATCTTCCCTAAGGATAAGGGAAATACAGACGGTCTTCTTTCCTAGACATCCTTTGGTACCTCATTAACTATCTCACAAGTGAATATAGGTAAGAAATATGGCAAACTGAAACTCTGCCCCACTTAAGGGAGGAGGTGCTAATCAGCTCCTACCAATTGTCACCAAGTCATAATGAAAGCCCACTGTTAAAGAATTTTTCTGATTTTTTTAAAGAGGAGGCAGAAAATCCAGATTTTTATATGAAATCCTTGACATACAAACAAATGTAATGGGATAACTATTTTAACATACTATGACAAGATTATGTTTTCAAAAGTTTATTTATTTGAGAGAAAGAGAGTGAGACAGAACACAAGCAGGGTGGAGGGGCAGAGGGAGAAGGAGAAGTAGACTTCCTGCTTAGCAGGGAGCCAAATGTCGGGGTTTATCCCAGGACACCAAGATCATGACTTGAGTCAGAGGCAGACACTTAACCAACTGAGCCACCTAGGCACCACAGACAAGATTATTTTAAATGAAAACTTTAATTTCTTTTTTTTTTTAAGATTTATTTATTTATTTGAGAGAGAGAGAGAGAGCACGAGTAGGGGGAGAGGCAGAGAGAGAATCCTCAAGCACATTCCCCGCTGAGCACAGAGCATGACACGGGGCTCCGTCCAGGACTCAAAGATCATGACCTGAGCTGAAATCAAGAGCCTGCCATTTAACAACTGAGCCACCCACACAACAAAAAATTTTAATTTCTATGATTAAAGTAAATTTCCTCATTGTCCTATCATGCTGCCTAGATCTTGGGGTAGGATGAGGTAAAAGAAAGGATGGATCCAGAACTGGCAATTAAACGTTTTTCAGTTTCTTCCAGTCTAGAGAGTCCTTGCAAATTTGGAAGAGTTTCTTTGTGATAAAGCTGGGATCCTTTGGGTAAATGTTGCCTTTCATGGTTCCTTCTCCTCCAACTTCTCAAGACAGTGTTTGACCAGACAACTTACAAGTCCAAATAACAAACACATAGAGTTTCAAAAACTGTCTCTAAGTTCTTCTCTTCTCTGTAATTCAATTTCTTTTCCTGTTATTGTCCAAAGAAAGGAAATGCCAAATGTCACCCCCTAAAAGAAAAACACATGATATGTAGAGGAAGTCTTCCCCAAGCAGGATGGAAAGATAACACTTTCTAAAGGTAAAGACCCATAAGGCAAATAGGTTAAATGCATTGTCCCCACTACCTCCAGGCCAAAATGCTGAGGAAGCTTGACAAAAAACAAAAATAAAGAACTAACCAGGTAATTTCAGGGCACAGATCAGAACATTTCAAGCTGTCTTAATAGAAGTACCAGGTTCAACACTGTCGAAGTAGAGAATGGAAAGAGCAAAATGACATTGCATGTCACCAGTGGGCAAAGATCAATCAGCCCCACCTCCCTGGTTCACCTCCAAATTAGGGTGACTATGTTAGAGAAGGTCAGGGGAAATAGGGATGGAGAAAAAGCTTTTATTTTTCCACACTAATGCTGGTCAATAAATGTAGAAGAAATGACAGATTCAGAAAACCACCATTTTGCAACCACCAACACAGTTTAACTCTTCAGGCTAGAATCATCAATGGATACTAACGTTTGTTGCTGAAAGATTGTTGGGGGAGGTTGACTGTCAAAATCTTAAGATGTTTTCAACAGTTCACTAACGTTTTTAATTTATTTTTTTTGCTTTGAAGTAATTACAGATTTATATGTAGTTCTAAGAAATGATAAAGAAAGATCCTATGCACTCTTTCTTTACACTGTTTCCATCAATAACATTATCTTATAAAACTAGAGTACAATATTATAACCAGGATCCTGACAATGGTATGATTTTCCAATCTCATTCAGATTTCCCATTTTAACTGTACTCATTTGTATATGTATGCCTGTGTGTATTTAGTTCTAGATAACTTTTGTACTTGTTTAGGTTTGTGTATCATATACCGACCATCAGAATCAAGATACAGACCATTTCAAACACCACAAGACTCTTCTAACCACTCCTGCTTTCCTCTATATGCCTTCTTCCCTGTCTCTAATCCTTGGCAACCACTAGTCCATTCTCCATTCTTTTAATTTTATCATTTCAAGAATAATGTAGGAGCACCTTGGTAACTCAGTCATTAAGCATCTGCCTTCAGCTCAGGTCATGGTCCCAGGATCATGAGATCGAGCCCCACATCAGGCTCCCTGCTCAGTGGGAAGCCTGCTACTCCCTCTCCCACTGCCTCTGCTTATGTTCTCTCTCTTGCTGTGTCTCTCTCCATCAAATAAATAAGTAAAATCTTAAAAATAAGAATATTATATAAATATAAATGGGATCATACAAGTTTAAGACTGGCTTTTTTCAGGCAATTTAAATCCTTGGAGATTCATTCATGCTGTTACATGTAACAATAGTCCATTCCTTTTCTTTCCTATGTAGTATCCCATGGCATGGATATACTTCAGTTTATCTAACCATTCAAATTTAAAGGACTCTTGGATTAAGGTTTTTGGCTATTATGATGGACTTGCTATGAACATTTATACACATGCTTTTGTGTGAACTAAGTTTTCATTTATTTGAGAAAAGTGCCCAAGAGTACAACTGTTGGGTCATATGGTATTTGCATGGCTAGTTTTATATAAAAATCCCAGACTGTGTTCCAGAGTGACTATGACAATTATAGTCCTCTAAGGGTCATCAGTTGAACATGAAGATTGAGGAGAAGTACTGGAGGTTTGTGGAGACAAGAAAAGGCATGCAATCATCATTAAGGAGCACGGACATGTGAAGAGACTAGGTGAATGCAGAGTGTCTTCAGGCAGGATCAATGACTTCTTGGTGGTCATGAATTCACAATGATACCAGTCAGTGTAGCCAAGTGTTCTCCACAGGAAGAAGTCTATGCCAGTTCAGCCACAGAACAGACAAAGAGTTAGATTTAAGTAAGGTAGTTTTACCACACAAGGAAAACAAAGGACAAAAGAGGTAAGGGAACCAGGATATATTCAATAAGTAGATCAAAATAATGAGCCAAAAATAAAAACTCCCACAACTCCCTTTTCCTGAGGGAAATTGGAAGGGGAGGTGAACCATGAGAGACTATGGACTCTGAAAAAGAACCTGAGGATTTTGAAGGGGCGGGGGGTCGGAGGTTGGGGGAACCAGGTGGTGGGTATTAGGGAGGGCACAGATTGCATGGAGCACTGGGGGGCGGTGTGCAAAAACAATGAATACTGTTACGCTGAAAAGAAATAAAAAATTTAAAAAGAAAAAATAAATAAAATAAAAGAACAAACTATTTGTGACAGCAAAAAAAATAAAAACTACATGAGTGGCAAGAAAAACTCGGTAGAACCAGTGTATTTGGGTCCTAGTTAAAGCTAGGTACCAGAGGGAATGAACTAGAAAGACAGAAGGTGTAGTCAAAGAGTGAAATACATAGAAATTGACACTAGAGTTTGCAGTTAATAATAATGAGGCCTAGATATAACAGAGGGAATAGGTGAAGTAGGGTGGAATTCAAGATCAGTAGTGAATAGTAGGCAAGGGAAGAAGATGCTAGGTGTGGGGAAGAATCATTAATGTGGTTATTAACTTCATCAAGATAGGAAGGGTACAGGGAAAAATGACAGTTGAGCCAGATGCTTGCATATTTAGGAAAAAGGGAATGACCTGGGAATTGACAAATTATTGCTACAAGAAGTGGTGGAAGACTGCTATGGATAAAACACGAAATTCACAACAAGATACTTTTTTAGGGGGAAAGGAGACAGTAAGGTCTACAAGCAGGAAAGGGGAGCAAGGATGACACCTTCCTCTATTCCAGCTCCATAACCTATAGATTGTAGAAGTGAAAACTACAACATTAGAGAGAAAATAGCACCCTGCCTCAGGGAAGCAAGGCTCTTACTGCAGACAAGTGGTGAGTGGGATGGGGAGAGGTTAGGTGCCTTATGAGAAAGAAAAGCAGTTAATACTTCAATGTAGTAATTATACAATCTAGGGCGTCATTTTACTTTGGTTCAAAAAGATAAATTCTAAACCAGATCAGATGGAAAAGGATGGTTTAATGTGGTCACTCCTCTCCCTCAGCTTATCTCTCCAGGTAGCACCTTCCTTCCCCTCCTGATGGCCTACATTCTGACCATTGCTTCTCTCCTCTTGACCCCACTCTTCCCTGGATATCTGGCCCTGCTGTATTTTGTTTCACATTCTTGTTTCTGAATATAGGTTGGTAAGTATTAGTTTTATCTGATCCCAGGTGCATTCTTTGGTGGAAAACTGGATTTCTCCTCTCTTAACCCATCTCCTATGCTTGTTTAGTTCACCACTGCAGCCTAGCAGGTAGAATCTGTGCCCTTCCTTTCAATTTTAGTTGGAAATTAAAGGACTCTCCTTGCAGTAAGGCCCAGGTTGTTGAAGGGAGAGTGTAAAGAGTTTCTTTGAATCTAGGATGTTCTTTTTCATACTTGTCTCACCTAGTATCTAGCACAAATTCACTTTTTCTTTCTGAACCCTATTTTTTAAACACACTAAATAAAGTAAGAATTAATTTAAGAATATGTATATGAGTCTTCAAACTTGACAGATATGAAAATTGAGGGAAAATATATTAGTAGTGAAAAAGAAAAAGGGAAACTATGTAGATTGGAATATTGAAGATAAGGAAGAAATGGTATATTATAGATGCATAACTCCTATTCAAAAGCCAACAATGAGCAAGATAATTTCATAAAGGTTGCAGTAAGTGTTTCCCTGAATTTCATTAAAATACATGGTTTGGTCTTGAAGATAGTGTTAGGCCATGAGTCCTAGACAGTAAGTTCAAAATGTTGCTGGTCTCGTAAGAAACCACCTATGAGTCTGTAAGTCTATAGGTAACTAGCAATGTTTTCATAAAATAACTTGAATTAGGATATGTATTTCCTAAAGAAATAAATGAATAAATGAGAAAGAACAAATTTTGAACATATCAAAATGACCTCATCAACCTTCTGAAATAAATGCATGAATTAGTTACATACTTTTTGGCTTTAAAAAAGAAATGTGTGAGTCATAAGGTACATTCTTTGCATGTTTTAGATATTTTTAAGGCCTCTGTTTTTTTTATTCCTTTGATGGATTAATTTCTGATTAATCAATTTTCTCTCTCCTTAAAATTTACAAGTTAGAATACCCCTAAAATACTAAGCTTAATTCAGTCTCTGAAATGTATTACATATTTTCTACCATGTCCACAATAGCCAAAATCTGACGATATTAAGGTTCTTTGTTTGTGGACTTCTTACGTAAAATAGTGCCCTTTATTAATTTTCTTCCTTTTTATTCTGGTTTATTTTCCATCTTGCCACTAATCACTACTTGAATTTATGGTATATATTTGCATATTTACTTGTTTATTATTTGTCTATTCCTGCCAATTGAGGAAGCTCTAAAAAAAGGGGAACATTTCTAGGCTCTGTTAACAGATACATGAGAAGCAATTAGGAGCTTTAATGAAAAGAAACACTGCTTAGTGGAAAGTGATTTTAGCTTTTATTTTAATGTTTAATACATATTTCTAAATTATAAGATTTTCTACTCGTTTTATGGCATATTTACCATCTAATAACAATGCTCACTGAACAAATAAAGCCAGTTCACCAGATCTATAATATTTATTGATATTATTCTTGCTTTAATAAAGTGGTTAAGCTCAGAGGAGCTTCATCAGGCTTTCAAGGCTTGATAAGCCTATTTACAAATTCACATTAGAATTTAGCTAGTAATTTTAGGAAATCCATTACCCATCTTTGGAAACTTTAATTAAGATGGCTTAAAATAGAAAAATACGGCTTCAAACAGAATTATATAGATCTATTACACTCATTTTTTTATTTACATTTACATTATCAATGTATGATTATTTTTAATATCTCTAAATGTGCAATAAACACATAGATTTCCCATTCCCACTAAATGACTAGATAAGCCATTGCAATTCATGCCAATTGATAGTATTAGAAAGCCTTCAATCATTCCCCAATGTATTCACCTCTCTCTTTTATAAATCCCCGTTCTTTTTCTTGCTTAGATCCTTTAATTTCTTTCTTAAACTTACTTAATAGAACCTTATGGAAAATCTAAGAATATGTTGGGGAAATGCCCATGTGCACAGAACCTTGTCCACATAATTTAATTTCAAGAGATCCACAGATCTCTTGGGTCCAACCAGAGACTACAGAGTGGTCAGGGACCCCATGTCAATCACTCTTGTCATATCCTATTAGTTTCTCTATATTGCCCTCATAACTGCTTTCTTTTTAACCAGCACTTAACCCTTCAGGTGACAGCTTTGTGTTCTAAAGTTGCTGACCCTCTTTATACAATGTTCCATATGCAGGACCTAAGGAGAAAAGTTGGCTCTGTACTAAAGATGGAGTGTTGTTAATAACAGCCATTCAAATAAGACTCGAGCATTTAACAACATTGTGATAGGAAAGGGCAAAAAGTTAGGACAGACTATAAACAACCCTTCTTATAAATAAGCTTTATTTAGCAGATGTCTACTCACAGCCTTCTATGTACCTCCTTCACTCATGTAACAAATGTCTATTGGTAATGACAATGTCCAGGCCCAGTAGGGGAGAGAAAAATGGAAGAAGTCACCTTGAAAATTAATTCTCCTTCTGAAGCCTGGAATACCACTTAGGCTGTTAATGTTTAAGACTGTTATACTACAAGTTCATTACTATTTAAAGGCAAAAGATAATGCTCGAGTTATAACCTCTAAAGTCATTGAAAAATTTCTCCCAATCCATTTTTATTCATCCAAATCAAATCTATTGCTATGTGAGTTCCTGATATAAATTCGGAATCCTGTTTGGTATTAGAAGATGGGAGAGATACAGTTTCTAACCCATAGTTTATTGCTACTCTTTAAACTAAGTTCAGGTATGCACACATTCTTTCTGTTTTGATGGGGCATCGGGGTGGGATTTCACCTGTCTTCATTTCATAGAGAATACCTCAATTCATGATTTAAAGATAGAGAACAGTAACACTAAGAAAAAGTTTTCATAACAAATACGTGAGAGAGATCTTCATAGGTTGAGTTTTCTGGGAGAGGGATTTGACTTACACTGAAGGAAATATTCCCCTTTATTGGGTATTCAGGAGGGAATCAGAGATCACTGAAGTCAGGAAGAAAATAGAAGCACTAACATTTGCAATAAATAGTTCCAATTATTATTATGACTAAATGAAAGCAAAATGAAAGTTGACATTTCTCTACTTTACATTAAAGATCTGGCAATGACTAAAGATAAAGGTCTAGTGGGTTTCATAAGTCTGGTATTAAAAATAAAATTACCCTCATTGACAGGTGAAATTGATCTGGCATTTCACAAAAGAAGGTAAATGGATTTTTTAAAATGGTTTTCTTCTCCTTACACAGGACACTTCAACTATTTAAATAATTTAAAAGTTATTTCTCATGGAAATAGAATCAATTTTCTATATGCCTGAAGCACATTAATGAGTATTCTGAATTTCCTTCCTTCTAGCCAAGTGATAAGTCAAAGTAAAAAAACCCCTGAAAGCTATTACATTGTAGAAAATACAATTTTCTCCTTGAGAAAGAATAGTTACTGGTTGCTGCTAAATTTAATATAGGAAATACAAAGTTACTGTGGCTATGCTATGCATAGGAAAAACTTTTCCGTAGTGGTCAGCTAGTAGCACCCAATGAAAGTTGTGGCGCTCTCACATTCAATTCACGAGCATTTAAATCTATTTTCTCAGGCTTGTGTAAGCCATGCTTCCATATGCTTTTTCACTCCAACTTCTTGTGGAAGTTTTCATTTTGGGATTTTACTCACTGCAGGTGGTATTACAAAACAAGAAAAAGGTTGTCCTGAATATACTTTTTTCTAATAAATATGATCTGGACATTTCAAAACTGCTTCACTTCTATCAACATCTCCTACCACTGTTTTGAGCATCATAAGACTGAGTAAGTGAAATATGGGCTTTCAAATTCACAAATCATAATTAAATACAGAATATGAAAAGAATAATGTTCAATCATAGTTACCAACTCTAAATATAAATGGTTCTAAACCAAGGTTTTCTCTCATATTCTCCATTAACTCTGCTTCATGTAGTCTATAATACATTTAATAGTTTTCTTCTTGTTGATCAGCTACATCTCTCTGGTAAATGAGAAGCCCTTCATCTCCAATTCTTAACAGTCAGCCACTCCCTGCCCAGCATTATAGTGGGTCTTGAATGAAGCCTATGTCTTTGAAATTATTTCTCTATTTGGTTTTAGTAGCAAAGAGATGGTGATTTTCTTAGATAAAAAGAAAAAATTAAGACCAAAATCTAAAAGCAAATCTGCAAAATTTTAATTTTAAAACAGAGAAATTAATTTTCAACTTATGTGGAACCCAACATAATTTCCTATATAAAATTGTTAAGTTCTTTCATCAAAATCACATCCTTGGATTTAGGTCCCCATTTGCTTTTAACAACCAACAATACTCAGAATCTAAGAAGGCATTTCATCTCACCTTCCTGCAGGGCTAGAGCTATTATCTTCATTTTCCCACTGTTCATTTTTACTTCTTGGAACTGGGGGCTGGAGCATTTCAGCAGCCAGTGGGTCAGGATCATTCTCTTCTCGACCAATCCATTCTCCAATCACACGGGGTCTCAGAAGAGAAGAATTAAATGCCACTGTTTCCTGAGAAGGAGAAAAGAATGTACTTGACTCAGATGAGTTATTCTTATTAATGGGACAACAGGGAAATAATTTTGTCTAGAGTTTTGACTGCCTCTGCCAATCAAAATTTTCCTTTTTTCTTTCTGAATTGACTCAAATCCATTTCTATTAGGTGACTTACTCTATGTAATTTGTGCTGACTCCTGAAGGTCACTGTGACAAAGGATCCAGGAGTGAAATCTTAGATTTGGATTTGGAAGGCTGCGTGTGTATTCTCAAGAAGGAGGATCTGAGACTAGCATTCATGACAGAAGGAAAAGTGTATGGTAAGGCTCTCACACTGGAAGAGCTCAGAGTTGCTGGGAAATGGTAAATAATTTCTTAGGAGGAAACTGGTGTGAGGTCAGGGAATAAAGTCAAGAAACGATGGTGGAAGGATGGATTGCCTCTGATTGTGGAACAGTCTGAACTTGTAGGGATCCAGTAGAGATTGGAAGCAGGGCAGTATCAGTGACAGGCATGGTGTGCTAATTCAAAAAATGTTAAAGTGACCTCTTTTCATAGATTTTCATATGATGTGGGTCTTAAAGTGATACTTAAACTACTTAAATCATTTAATAATTTGAAAGGTACTAGAATACTGAATTGTGTAATTGCTAGATATATCTCAGTAAGTGGGAAAAAAGGTTAAAAGCAATGTCTACTCTATGATCTTAGTTTTGTTTTAAAAATTCATAGTGGGGGTGGCTGGGTGGCTCAGTGGGTTAAAGCCTCTGCCTTCAGCTCAGGTCATGATCCCAGAGTCCTGGGATCGAGCCCCACCTCGGGCTCTCTGCTCAGCGGGGAGCCTGCTTCCCCTCCTCTCTCTCTGCCTGCCTCTCTGCCTACTTGTGATCTCTCTCAAATAAATAAATAAATTTTTTTAATTAAAAAAAATAAAAATTCATATGGGTATATATCAATATTTTGTGCTGGTGTCAGCCTCTCAATAACCAATGTTGTGGTTCTCATGATTGCAAGATGCCCTTCAGCAATAGCCATCAGGAGACTTTGAAAAATTAAAAGTTTATTGTTTAGGGACACCAGGGTGGCTCAGTTGGTTAAACAACTGCCTTTGGCTAAGGTCATGATCCCAGAGTCCCGGGATCGAGTCCTGCATTGGGCTCCCAGCTCCACAGGAGTCTGCTTCTCCCTCTGACTTTCTCCGCTCTCATGCTCTCTATCACTCTCTCTCTCTCAAATAAATAAATAAAATCTTCTAAAAAAAAGTTTATTGTTTATAAGACCTAAAGTATACAGCACACCTAGGGGTAACACAGTGAAATCACAGGTAGAGAGAGAGTGAAAGAGAGAGCACTAGCAATCACAATGCTGGGGTTCTGCTTTTATTGGAGTTGAGGGTGGAAGCCTAGGGTTTAGTGGGCTCACTCTTTAAAATTTAAAAAATAAGTCAATTTTTTAAATGGTCAGTTTAAAAAATAAGATTGGGAATTAAAAGCTTGGGGAGAGAAAAAACAAGTGGCCCAAATCGCCAGTAATTGAAATCAAACAAGATCTCTAAAACAAAAAGCTTCAGCCAGGGGAGGTGGCTGGGACCTTTATCTAGTCTACTGTGGCTAACAGTATGTTTATTGGAAATAGCCATCTTTGAAGTAGACACTTTGACAATCAAGGCTTAAGTGGGGCACTCAGATTACAAAAAGGAAAAAGACAAAACCAATTGTTAGAGTTTAACTACACTAATTACTCATTTATTAATTTTCTCATATTTATTAAGACCCACTGTGTGGCAGATACTGCTTTATTTGTTGGGAAAAACAACAGTAAAACCATAATTTGGTGGTTTTATCTGAACAGAGACTACAGGTAGTTTTAGTTTCTTCTTTTTGTGTTTCTATGTCTCTGGAAACTTATGATAAATATATACTTGTCTTATAATATGAAAAAATGCATTTTAAAAATAACCTGATGTGAGAAACATAGGCTTGACTTAAATTATGTTTCCTTGCAGTTTTTAGTATTATGAGAGTTCTGAATAATTTCTTAAAAATTCAGACCTGGTCTTCTGAGTCTTTACAATTCTCCAAAATATTATATAAATACAACACAATGCATATATGACATAACAATAAGTACAATATAATATTAATTAGTATACAAATATAATACCAAAGGCAACATGTGAAATATGATTAGGATATATTTGATGAATTTATCCAAGTGATAACAAGGGACAGAAAATAGTTGGATATCTTAATACTGACTTCCTAGCCCACATGAAAATGTACCAGATACATTTTGGTAATCGGTGCTTGTATAACAGCAAATAATCTGAATTCTTTCTGTATTTATGTCCCCATAGTCAGGAAATCAAAGCACTATAACGGTTTTCTGCTGTGAAATCATGCAATCAAATTATTTTCTTGAAATTACTGGAAAGACACATTCACCTATCACAATTTAATATCATTTGAAGTATAACAATTAAAATTAACAGCAATAGTGTTAGATTTTAAACCTGTATTTGTTTTTAAAAGCAAACTGAAATAAAGGCATGTTTTAGAATATAAAAAAATTATAAACATATTTATAGCCTCAGGATTAATTTTGGCCTGCATCTGAAGTGTTACTTATTTTGTGAATTTCACTTTCTCCAAATGTAAAACAGTGATGATGGGAATTATAAACCTACTGTATCAAATGAGTTCATAGGCAGCACAGTTAAACCACAGAATTCTGTATATTTGCTAGATACAATTATTTAAGGATGTGGACTATATCAAAACCACTTCTACATGTGTGATATATCTGGGGGGAAAATGGTAAACAGAAGCGCAAGAATGGGCAAGTTGGGTAAAAATAAATCCTTGGTTGTCGATATGGGCAGAGTAATAGAACAGACACTTGATGGGACAAATTTTCAACCTCTGAAGTTTTATTTTATAGACAGAATATTTAAAAAGTTAGATTATTAGTTCAATTTATTAATCTCATTTATGTAATAAAGCAGAATTTGGCTTGGAGATTTGTCCTATTATAGACTCAACAAATAAGAATGAGGACAAAGAGACTGACCACTGTAACAACAGGAAGGAGCGGGTTTGGACACTGTAAATGGAAAATGCGAAATCGAATTTAGAGTTGATCAAATGTTGAGAGCTGAAGAGAATCAGAAATAACTCCCTTGTTGTTTACCGGGAAATTAAACAAAATGATAGATGCCACTGCTGTTGGAAAGTGGAGCACGGAGAGGATAAATCGTTTGATATGCAGCCCGTTTAACACTAGCTGGCAGCAGAAATTTCAGTGAGAAATAGCTGATGAACAAAACAATACAAAGCTGCAAACAGGGTCAAAGGAGTTAGGAAATTAGTATTTTACAGGTCAAAAAATGGGACCCTACTTTTTCTATTTTTCAGAATGATTAAAGCTATCTATGCCTTTTTGAAAATGTTATAGCTATAGAAATTACTGAATATAATATAGTTACCTGAAATAGATTAAAATAGCAAATATTTCCTTGGATATATTGCTTACATTTGATTAAGCCAAGTAAACATAAATTTTTATGAAAGGATTTCAATGAAGAAAACAGTTCTTAACACTATACACAATGCGTCACAAATGTCAGTACATAGCAAAAGAAATTTTAAAATGCCCATCAAAAGCAAGGAAAATATTTCTTGAAAATATTCTAAGTACATGGTAAACAAATAATTTAAAGTGTCAATGCTAAACATGTAAATCCTAATTATTCTTTAAAAATATATAAACACATATTCCTTTGCCCTCTTAAGGCTAGAGTCTCTAGAGGTTGAGATTCTTAAGCAAATATGCTTAATTTAATAAGAATAGCATTTCTGGTAAAAAATTCAACCAAAGATCACAGATTAGCTTAGTATTTTTGATCAGCAGAAAGCTATCCTATTAAAAGCAGTTACAGTAAACAGGCCTACTCTCTCCAAGCAGCCTACTCCTACTCTCCTACTGGCTAACTCACAGTGAATTCAACTGCTCTGACCACCTTATCACATTTGATTATATTCTGCCTTTTTTTTTTTAACTCCACTATAAGTAACATACAGTGTTATATTAGTTCCAGGTGCATAATATAGTGATTCAACAATTCTACATATTACTCAGTGCTCATCATAAGTACACTTTAACCCCCTTCAACTATTTTGCCCATCCTCCCACTCCTCTGGTGGCCACCAATTTGTTTTCTATATTTAAGTCTATTTTTTTCTTTATTTGGTTTGTTTCTTAAATTCTACATGAGTGAAAACAAATGGTACTTGTCTTTCTCTGACTGACTTATTTCACTTGGCATCATATCCCCTAGATCCACCCATGTTTTTGCAAATGGCAAGATTTTGTTATTTTTTATGCCTAATATTACATTGTATATATGTATATATACACTACATCTTATCTATCCATTCCTCTATTGATGGACCCTTGGGTTGTTTTCATATTTTTGCCATTATAAATAATGTTACAGTAAACATAGGGATGCATATATCTTTTCAAATTAGTGTTTTTGTATTCTTTGGATAAACACCCTGTAGTGGAATTACTAGGTCATATGGTAATTCTATTTTGAATCTTTTGAAGAACCTTCATACTGTTTTCCACAGTGGCGGCACCAGTTTGCATTCTCACCAACAGTACACGAGTGTTCCTTTTTTCCACATCTGCACCTCTTGTTGTCTCTTGCATTTTTAATTTCAGCCATTCTGACAGGCATGAGGTGATATCATTGTGGTTTTCACTTACATTTCCTTGATGATGAGTGATGTTGAGCAACTTTTCACGTTTCTTTTGGCCATCTGATGTCGTCGTCTTCTTCTTTTTTTTAAGATTTTATTTATTTAAGAGAGAGATAGTGAGAGAGAGCATGAGAGGGGAGAAGGTCAGAGGGGGAAACAGACTCCCTGTGGAGCTGGGCATCCGATGCAGGACTCGATCCTGGGACTCCGGGATCATGACTTGAGCTGAAGGCAGTTACCTAACCAACTGAG